AGTATTTTGCTGTTTTTCTCGAGTATTTTGCTGTTTTTGTCAAGTATTTGGGCATCAAAACATTATTTTTGCAGATGTCAATGCATTTATATATTTTATACTTAAAACTAGGCGTAGCGTAGGCGCAGCTAACCACAATGTTAGCTTCACTAACTTCTAATCCGCTAAACAAGAACCTTAGTTCCACTAAAGCTAATCCACCACATWGATTAAAATTTTGAGGAAGCTAACCGCTAACAACTAATTTAGCAAAAGGTTCACTAAGGGATTCCAAAGTTAACAAAGATGCTAATCTGTTAAATACGAAGTTAGTTCTKCTAATACTGAAAAGGCAGAACTGTACCCACCGCTCTTTAAAACTCTGTAAAAAAAACAAAAATGTTTGCGTGTGTACATTGGCAAAGTTTAAGGATGCAAAAACAAAGCCTCGTGCAAGAATCATTGCACGTGTCAACAGAAAACCTGCACCAACAGTGAAACTTGTGCTTCCAACAGGATGCACGTTTAAAGAAAACAATTCAGATGATTTAGGAGGTATGAAGAAAAAGAAACTTTGAAAAGATTAATACAACATTTTCCAGTTTTTCCTTCCAGCTGTAATTCATTTTCTACCATGAAAGTTCCATCCTTTTTTTTTAAAGATACATATAAAAAATAAAGGAAACAAATGGGCAAAAACAACTTCTGCACAGTAAAAGTTGGCCTCATCTAGTCAAATTTATTATCTTGTGAAATGTTAAAAGATTCTGTCTCACATTTGAAATTAATTATTTGGGTGGTGGCACTTGAATTTAAAAGTTTAATTAGAAAAATGCTATTAAATTACAAAATTTAACAACCRCCATTTATGTAAAGTCAAATTCAAGTCAATGTGTTAGTTTATTTACAAATAGTTCAAGCATCCTTACTTTTAGATACAAGTTCAGTCATCAAACTAATACTAATAATTTAATTTTAATCACTGACAGAAACTGAAGTGGTGCATGGATAAAATGGGACAAAGGAAAATGTGGTGCTGCTCTTCCTTCGTTTCACGAASGAAATCAACAGAACATTTAATTGAAAACTACAAAACGTGAGCAGGTTAATAATGGACTCGACAATCTGAAAATGACTGTCAGAAATAGCCTTTCATAATGAATTTGTGTAAGAAATGTTTGACTGGAGCAAAAAGCAAGAACTACAGCACTAAATCTTTGGAAACACTGCTCTCTGCTGGCTGAACGTAAGAAAAGTACCAATAAAGCTTGGCTGAAGTGATATTTTTGTTCCTGAGATACTTGCAGACCGGAAAGCATTTTTTATTATGGCAACAGCTTTTACCATTAGGACAGTTCACTAAAATACTTAAAACTGTGATTAAATGTGTTGAGTTTTGTGGAGCTGTAGAGATTTTAACAGATTAAAAGAACTKCAATTCATCATATTTCAGTAAATAAAAAATGTTACTGGGTGGAAATAAAAGAACCACAAAGTTTGTACAGTTGCAATCCTATTTTATTACAATACATGAAAAACACGGGACTGCACTGACTTTATCTGATAGTGTCTTTTATTTGGACAGACACGGCTCACATCTCAGCACCAACTATTGGGTTGTGATTAGCAGAAGTCAGCTTTGAGAGCAGAAAGTTGTCGTCGTTTGTGCGCTTTGACAGACGTCTGGGAGCAGAGCTGACTCACAGAGTATTTACTCTTTGATCCAGGTCATAATAAAGGGTGCTGTAAGGGATGTTTTAAGTATTGACATCTACTTTTTAGCAATCTGCAGACGGTCGTTCACATTCTCCCAGTTGATTATATTCCAGATAGCTTTCACATAGTCAGGTCGCACATTTTTGTACTGAAGATAGTAGGCATGTTCCCATACATCAATGCCGAGGAGGGGAATTAGACCTAAATGTTAAAAAAAAGAAGTAAAATTTTAAACAACTAGTAAGCGACTAGTGATATTTTCTTCTCGTAAAGCTGTTTTAATCTGACCTGTCGTCCCCTGCAGGGGATCCTGATTAGCACACGCAGCAATGCGAAGTCTTCCGCTCTCCTTTTCGTAACCCAGCCATCCCCAGCCTGAGCCCTGCACGGCCACTGTAGCAGCGGACATCTTCTCCTTCATCTTCTGGAAGGAGCCAAAGTCCCGTTTGATGGCTTCCATTAGTTCTCCTACAAAACAAACAAAAACCTTAGCATATCAAACGACAAAGGAAAAGAATGTTTTGAATCGGAGTAGGTTTCGCCTTACCTTGCGGCTCACCTCCACCATTGGGAGACAGGTTTGTCCAGAAGATGGTGTGGTTAATGTGGCCTCCTCCATTAAACTTCAAAGCAGGCTGGAGGGCAACTTGTGCAGTGACATCTCCTGAAATATTCATAATCACAAGTGGATCAATGTCAAATTTAAAGAGTAACTTACCCCAAAATTAACTTTTTTTAGCTGATAAACTGTCTAGAATGTGTCTAAAATGTTATATAGTACTGTTTCTGTGCTAACTTTGATGTTTTTGTGTATATTTGTTCAAATCTGTAATATTTGGTCTAAAAACGTGTTTTTGCTGCTCATATGGGTAGAGCAGTGGTACTGCAGGCTAATTTGCATATTGGTTAACGTCTCTCCACGGTGACGTGTCTTCTCCATGGTTTCGTCACAGCGGCTGTCCTCATATAAAAGCCTCTCTCTAAGACAGAGAGAGAGAGAGAGA